GGGACTTTGCCCGATCTTTCAAGGATTTGTGAGCTCCTCACACAATCCAGCCTGGTTAAACCTAGGATGGATCGTAGGCAGGCCAGCCTAAATGTTTCCAACCGGCGAAGATGCTCCATCAGGGGGGTCCACGTTTCGCAAGCGTAGAGAAGGGAGGAAATGACCGTGGCCGAAAAGACCTGAAGCACACACACACGCACACACACACTCACACACGCATACACACGCACACACACGCACACACGCACACACACACACGCGCACACGCACACACCACACACACGCACACACACACGCACTCACACACGCATACACACGCACACACACGCACACACGCACGCACACACACGCGCACACACACGCACACATACACACACCACACACACGCACCACACACACGCACACACACACACACGCACCACACACACGCACACACACACCACACACACGCACGCACACACACACGCACACACGCACACACGCACACACGCACACACGCACACACGCACACACGCACACACACCACACACGCACACACACACACCACACACGCACGCACACACGCACACACACACACGCACACACACACGCACACACACGCACACACACACGCGCCAGTTACAACCTCATGAACATGAAGGCATGTTACATTATACACACGCGTCAGTTACAACCTCGTGAACATGAAGGCATGTTACATTATACACACACACACACACGCCAGTTACAACCTCGTGAACATGAAGCCATGTTACATTATACACACACACACGCGCCAGTTACAACCTCGTGAACATGAAGGCATGTTACATTATACACACACACACACGCCAGTTACAACCTCGTGAACATGAAGCCATGTTACATTATACACACACACGCGCCAGTTACAACCTCGTGAACATGAAGGCATGTTACATTATACACACACACACGCACGCGCCAGTTACAACCTCGTGAACATGAAGGCATGTTACATTATACACACACACGCACGCGCCAGTTACAACCTCGTGAACATGAAGGCATGTTACATTATACACACACACACACACACGCCAGTTACAACCTCGTGAACATGAAGGCCATGTTACATTATACACACACACACACGCCAGTTACAACCTCGTGAACATGAAGGCATGTACATTATACACACACACACGCACGCGCCAGTTACAACCTCGTGAACATGAAGGCATGTTACATTATACACACACACGCGCCAGTTACAACCTCGTGAACATGAAGGCATGTTACATTATACACACACACACACACGCGCCAGTTACAACCTCGTGAACATGAAGGCATGTTACATTATACACACACACACACACGCCAGTTACAACCTCGTGAACATGAAGCCATGTTACATTATACACACACACACGCACGCGCCAGTTACAACCTCGTGAACATGAAGGCATGTTACATTATACACACACACGCGCCAGTTACAACCTCGTGAACATGAAGGCATGTTACATTATACACACACACACACACGCGCCAGTTACAACCTCGTGAACATGAAGGCATGTTACATTATACACACACACACACGCGCCAGTTACAACCTCGTGAACATGAAGGCATGTTACATTATACACACACACACACGCGCCAGTTACAACCTCGTGAACATGAAGGCATGTTACATTACACACATTATGTGGGGGGCGGTGAGGGTGTGTTTACGTGGGGGGGTGGTGAGGGTGTGTCTATGTGGGGGGCGGTGAGGGTGTGTTTATGTGGGGGGTGGTGAGGGTGTGTCTATGTGGGGGGTGGTGAGGGTGTGTTTACGTGGGGGGTGGTGAGGGTGTGTCTATGTGGGGGGTGGTGAGGGTGTGTCTATGTGGTGAGGGTGTGTCTATGTGGGGGGTGGTGAGGGTGTGTCTATGTGGTGAGGGTGTGTCTATGTGGGGGGTGGTGAGGTGTGTTATGTGGGGGGCGGTGAGGGTGTGTTTACGTGGGGGGTGGTGAGGGTGTGTCTTTGTGGGGGGTGGTGAGGGTGTGTCTATGTGGTGAGGGTGTGTCTATGTGGGGGGTGGTGAGGGTGTGTTTATGTGGGGGGTGGTGAGGGTGTGTTTACGTGGGGGGCGGTGAGGGTGTGTTTATGTGGGGGGCGGTGAGGGTGTGTTTATGTGGGGGGTGGTGAGGGTGTGTTTACGTGGGGGGCGGTGAGGGTGTGTTTACGTGGGGGGCGGTGAGGGTGTGTTTATGTGGGGGACGGTGAGGGTGTGTTTATGTGGGGGGCGGTGAGGGTGTGTTTACGTGGGGGGCGGTGAGGGTGTGTTTATGTGGGGGACGGTGAGGGTGTGTTTATGTGGGGGACGGTGAGGGTGTGTTTACGTGGGGGGCGGTGAGGGTGTGTTTATGTGGGGGGCGGTGAGGGTGTGTTTACGTGGGGGACGGTGAGGGTGTGTTTATGTGGGGGACGGTGAGGGTGTGTTTATGTGGCCGCTAGCGGGGGGGGGCGGTACGGTGGCACTCTTCCGGTGGCTGACGCGGGTGGCGTGCGGTGCGTGCAGCTGTTCACGGACGGCATGACGAACAAGCTGGTGGGCTGCTCGCGAGGGGACGGCAGCGAGGACGTGGTGCTCGTGCGCGTGTACGGCAACAAGAGCGAGCTGTTTGTCGACAGGGACAGCGAGCTGGAGAGCTTCCAGGTGAGAGACGCCGCCGCCACCGCCGCTGCACCTCCACTCCGGAAATACTTAATCGGAATATTTATTTAATACCGGAGGAATCCGATGAGCTACGAATGTTATTTTTCTTTTTCTTGCCGAGGTTTGCCCCAAGTCGCTCCCAAATGAAAGATCCGGCGGCCGCTGCCGACGTTGGCGGTTCCAATCTGGCAGGCCGCCACCGTTATCGCCGCATTTAATGTTCGTGTGTAAAAAAAAAAAATTCATTGATCTAAAAATAAGCAAAATATATAAATCGAATTATATAAAAAAAATGACAAGAAAAAATCTTTTTTCAAATTCTGTACAAAAAAAAACAACAATCAAAAGTTCAACATGAAAAAAATTACGGTACTCGCAGCGTGCCTCGATGCGTCCTGTCGCCTGGCGCTGGAGAGAAGAGACTGATTTCCCCTTTGCGCTCTCCTATTTATCCTCCCTACCTCAAAAGGATGCTGCGCTGAACAATGGGCTCGCGCACCTCGAGCACGCGCACGGCGGTTCCGGGCGCTGTTGATATGCTAATCAGTGAGCGGCGTGCGCGGCGTAAATCCTAATTAATCCCTTACCCTTCCTAACAATGGGGCCTGCGCGCTCAAGCGTAATGATCCCAACCCTCCATGACTATGCGCAAGAGCCCCTGCGGTCCCGCTATTCATGCTGTCCCCTCCCTCCTCCGCCTGTCTCGTCGACCCGTGGGGGTGTGTGTGGGGGGAAAATGCGCCTCAACCGCGGTGGCCGAATGCCCCATGCCGCGACCACACCATATTAAGGCCGGTCGCAGCACCGCAGCGCAACGTAGCACGGGGTAGGTTGTCCAATTCCTTGATCGTCGGAAACCGTGAGAGTTAACCCCGATAAGGGTTTCTCGGATAAAAACCAGCCGATCAGGTGATCTCCCCTTCCAGCTCTATGGGTGGGGGAAAATGCGTGCGGGTGTGTTCATGTGAGGTGAGGTGAGGGGGACAAGGGGTTGGCTCCGTTGCTTGGTGGTGGCGAGGTCGGGGATGGGGCGCCTGCCGAACGGCTTCGCGGCGGCGGCATCACATAGCCCCCCGAGGTGCCAGTCCCCGTCCCGGGTTGACTGGAGCACCTTGCTTGAGCCGCGCCCACGAGGAAACGTTGCGGGGTCCGGGGGATCCGTCTGGACCTGGTGGCTGGCCTCGGGGCGGGTGGTTCCGTCCTCTGCAGCTCCTGCGGCGGCCTCCTCCTCCACTCCAGCGGCTCTCCCCGTCCTCCGGCACCTGTGGGCTGGGGCACAAACTCGGCAGCGGAAGGATCTAGGGCCCGTCGTCCGCGCCGTCTCCGGACTGGATCGAGGCGTCTCGGGGGCCCGGCGGGGCCCATGTAGTGTGCGAGGCCCCCCAACACGAGGGGTGCGGGTACTCCGGGATTTCGGGGCCTTCGGGTGACGGGGTTCTCTCTCGCCGGGGCCGCTTTCCATGGTTTTAAGCGGCGGACATTGACCACCGTCTCTCGACCCCTCTCCCCGCCATCAATTAGTACCGTCCAGGGGGAGATCTGTCGCACCACGGTCCAGGGTCCCCGCCAGTAGGTCGTCAGTTTCCCCACCTGCCCGGCCCCGACGCGAGGGGTGTGTAGCCACACCTTAGCGCCTGTCAGGAATAAGGGGGGTTCCATGCGGGGTCGGGTGCCCTGTTCCTGCCGCCGATGCGCGGCTTCCCCTTGCGGGTATGCTCGGCCTCGGGCTTCTCGTAGGGTCTCCAACAGGTGTTCCACGGGGCGGCTTCCCTCCTCCGGCTGGGGGGAAGGGACGCCGAATAGCAGATCTGCGGGTAAACGAGACTCACGGCCGAACATCATTAAAAACGGGGTTTGTCCCGTCGACGTGTGTACGGTGGTGGCGTAGGCGAAAAGAGCGTAGGGGAGGTGTTCATCCCAATCCCGTTGATTTGCGGCCGCCATACGTTTGAGTTTCCCCGCTAAGGTCTGATTCATGCGCTCCACCATACCGTTCGCCTGGGGGTGGTACGCTGTGGTTCGGTCCTTCTGGATTCCGAACTCTCGGCACAGTGCCTGGAACAACTCGGCCTCGAACTCGCTACCCTGGTCGGTGAGGACTTGTTCTGGGATCCCGTGCTTAAGTACGTAGTGTTCCACAAATGCCCGGGCCACCACCAAGGCCGTTTTATCAGGGATGGCCACTGCCACGGGGTAGCGGGTGAAATACTCTACTGCGACTAGGATATATCGGTTGCCTCGATGGGATCGCGGGAATGGCCCCTGTAGGTCGATCCCGACCAGCTGATTCGTGCGGCTGACGCGGAACGGCCTTAGGGGTACCTGGTATCGTGCCGGTTTCGGCCCGCACTGCTGACAGGCGCGGCAGCCCTGTACCCAGGCCGCCACGTCTTGTGCCAATTTGGGCCAGAGATACTGGCGATGCAGGGTCTCTCGAGTACGTCGTTCCCCATCGTGGCTCCCGAGTGGGTGGTCATGCACCAGCCGTAGCAGCTGGGGTCGCACCTGGGCAGGAACACAGATGCACCCCGGCTGGCCGGCCTCGGTTAACTCCCGTACCACTCCGTTCTGCACACACAACCGGGCATACAAACCGCTCCAGGGTCCTGGTAGGGCGCTCTTTTCCTCCCGCAGTGCCGCCTCCACTGCCGCCAGATCCGGATCTCGCTGCTGGGTCTGTCTCAGCTGCTCGTCGTTTAGGCCCGGGAAGGCGCAGCCGACGTCCTCCTGGATCCGTCCGATCGGGTCCCGAGCCGCGGGTCCCGCGCTTGCCGGGCGGTCGACGGGATCCTCAGTGCCACCTGTGAGGGTCTCTGTGGCGCACACTGCACTCTCTCTCGCTGGGGGGGGGTCAGTGGCCGCGGCCTCTCGGGGGTCCGTTGCCTGCCGGCAGCGTCCCCCCGTGAAACACGGGCAGGCCTCCTCCGCCCTCGTCTCGGCGTACACCGTGGGTCGCCTCGACAAGGCGTCCGCGTTTGCATGCGTCCGGCCAGCCCGATACTCGATTTGCAGGTTGTACTCCTGCAACTGCGCCAACCAACGGGCCATCTGCCCCCGCGGCTCCTTGAATGTAAGAAGGAACTGAAGAGCATAATGGTCAGTGCGTACGCGACATCTCTGGCCGTACAAATACGGCCGGAACTGTTTACATGCGAAAATCACAGCGTACAACTCTTGGCGGGTCACGCAATAGTTCAGCTCGGCCCCACTCAAGGTCCGGCTGGCGTACGCGATGACTCGTTCCGTCCCATCCTGTACCTGTGACAACACCGCGCCCAGCCCGCTGCTGCAGGCGTCGGTGTCCAAAATAAAATCGGTGGTAAAATCGGGGAAAGCGAGGGTGGGGGCGTGGGTGAGGTGATCTTTGAGAGTGGTGAAGGCCGTCTGGCAGGCCCCCGTCCACTGGTAGGGGTGCTTAGGGGAGGTGAGTTGGGTGAGGGGGCGTGCAATCTCGCTGAATCCCTTTACAAATCGACGATAATAGGTGGCGAGCCCCAAAAATGATCTGATCTCCGTCAGATTCCTTGGTCGTGGCCACTCCACTACGGCGCGTACCTTCTCCGGATCGGTGCGCACGCCTGCCTCGCTGACGCGATGCCCGAGGTACCCCACCTCGCGTTGTGCGATGTAACACTTACGTGGCTTGAGCTTGAGATGAGCCGCTCGCAGTCGCTGGAACACCTCTCGTAGCCTGGACCAATGCTCAGACAAAGATCTACTGAACACGATCACATCGTCCAAGTAAATCAGGCACTGTTCCCATTGCAAACCCCGCATCACCAACTCCATCAGCCGCTGGAACGTCGCGGGTGCATTGGTGAGTCCGAACGGGAGTACTCGAAACTCGAATAGTCCCATCGGGGTGGTGAATGCGGTTTTCGGCCGATCCTCCTCCGCCATCTCCACCTGCCAGTACCCGGACGCGAGATCGAGGGTGGAAAAATATCGCGCTCCGGCGAGGCTGTCAAAAGTGTCGTCGATGCGGGGTATGGGGAAGGCGTCGCCGAGCGTGACTGCGTTCAGTTTACGATAATCGACGCAGAACCGGGTTGACCCATCCTTTTTCGTTACTAGTACCACCGGGGCTGACCAGGGGCTCGCCGAGGGCTGAATTATGTTATCGCGAAGCATGTCCCCAACCGCCTCTTTGATCTGGGTGCGTTCGGGTGCGCCCACTCGGTACGCAGGGAGTTTGATGGGTCGGGCTGCACCGGTGTCAATTTGGTGCTTAACAAGGTCGGTCCGACCCACGTCCGAGTCGTGTTCGCTGAACACGTCGGCATACTCCCGCAGTAACTCGCGCAGCCGATCGGCCTCTCCCTTAGGTAAGTCCGCCCATGGTACATGTAACGCGTCGAGCAGGGGAACGACCTCGGCTCGGGGAGTCGGGCCGACTCGCCAGGCCAGGTCCTGCTCACCCTCAGGACGACCGGGGTCCTCAGCCCAGAGTGCGAACACCGAGTCGTTAGAGTGGCGTGCGTGCAGGGGGTGTACTGTGGCTATCGGGGTGCGCCGTCGCAGTATCGCTGGGGTATTGTGGGGGTTAAACATCCGCATAAACAATCGGTCCCCATCTGCGTTTACCAACGTGGCGGATCCCACAACCCCATACCGTTTTGCCAACTCCGGGTGAGGAGTTAGCATTACCTCCCCTGATGGTCGGAGCGCGGGGTCGGTGGGGGATGTTGCCACCGGCACCAGCATCTCGGTGAGCGGGCCGATGGTGACTGCCGTCGCCAGGATAGCGGCCACAGGTGCAAAGCGGCGGCGCGTTGGTTCTCGTCCCAGGAACTGTATCCGCTCGCCGTTGCTCTCCATGGTGGCGCATCGCTGGCGGGGTTGCACGTTGAGTCCCAACCGTTCTAGGAGGTCGGTGCCTGCGATACACTCGTGACACAACGCACTCGACACGTAGAACTCCTGCGTGCACACCTGGCTGCCTATGCGGACCTCTAGGGTGGCTCTCCCCAGCAGCCCCATTCCGGCTCCGCTCGCAGTGT